TGATGCTGTTCTGAGTAAAAAAACGTGTCGGGAGTGGTTTCAACTTTTTAAAAATGGTGATTTCGATGAAAGAAGGTGGAAGAGAAAAAACCTTCAAAGATGAACAACTAGAATCAGCAAGCCATTTCAAAACGTCTTAAGGCCCGGGGCATGATTCAGAAAGAAGGAAAAGCGGCCACAAAAAAAAAAGGAACATGACAAAGTCATCCTCCAACATGACAATGCTCGGCCTCACGAAAAAAAAGTGGTCAAAAAGTACCTGGAACCGCTGAAATCGGAAGTCTTACCCCACCCGCCGTATTCCCCAGATGTCACCCCTTCTGACTGCCACCTATTACGTTCGATGAAAAAAAGCCTGGCAGATCAATATTTTCAATCCTTCGAAGAATTGGTAAAATGGAAAAAAAAATGGATAGCGTCAAAAAAGGACTCCTTTTTTCGAGCCGGGATTCAAAAAAAAAAAGAAAGATGGGAGAATATTGTCACTAGCGAAGGACAATACTTTGAACAAAAAAAAACTAAGCACTTTTTTGCAATAAAGCTTTTAATTTTGGAAAAAAAACGGCAAAAAAAAAGTTGTACACCTGATAAGAAAAGCATCACTTTTTTCTCCCGGAAAGTAGTAATTTTACATTTTTTATTTTTTAGTTCGTTGAATTTTTGAGAGTAAATTCGAATTTCATGAAATTGAGAACATTGCTAGGTTTTTATCTAGATTAACATCTCTTTTAAGAAGGTAATCACATATCAACCGATCGACGAAAATATATGGAATTTTGCTGCGTTAAAAAAACTTCCGAGCATTTATATTCTCTTTTTAACGGCAGACTTTGAGTAGGAAAAAAAAATAATCCCTGAATATATCAGCTTAGGTAGGTAAAAAATAACTCAGTAATAAAAAAACCCCAATCATTGTACGGAAGTATTTGAAATTTATGCCAATCAGGTCAGTATAATGAGTTGAGTTGCTTTATTCATGTGCGTTAGAAATGAGGCTTTGATCATAAAAAAAACTAGTATTAAACATTCACAGCTGCACAACCATTTTGTTCAGATATGAGAAAAAAAATTAAATTTGAAATGCGAAGAGTATAAGACTACGGAAAAATTAGTGAAAAAAAAATCTGGTCAAGCTAAAGTGAACTTCATTAAATCTCATTCAATTAATAATATTCAATATATTAATTGTAATAATATTTTTTTTAAATAAATTAATTTAAAGAATTAAAAAAAATTAATTATAATGAATTATTGCCTTGGTGACTACACAGGTGTCCACGTAAAAAAAGAGTAAGCCACTACCTTGATTGTTCTTTGGTATCTGGAGTGTTGTGGTAAAAAAATGTTTCGTCTACGTTAACGAAATGGCGCAACAATTCGTTTGGATTGCAGTTAAACATCGCCCAACACTGAATTGGGCTGAGGGTCGTATGGGACTAATCACGTAAAAAAACGCGCGGAGAGCTTTTTTACATCCAAATAATCATGTCAAATGTGATGTAAAAAAACAGTTGAGATGCCTTATGACCTCTTTTGGGCGTCACTTGTAACGGCCAAAAAAAAACTCGGCAAACCACTTCTTACCCATTGAAATTAAAGATGCAGAGTTCCAAAAAAATAAGGTTGTCAAATATCTCCCTTCCGCTTTTTTGCTCTTCATTCAATGAAAAAAAAAAAGTGTTACAGTGATCGGATTTAGTTAAAATATGCGCCGTTTTGTTAAAAAAACTGTTTCCATCTAGACGGCAATTTCATAATACCTTTCTCGTAGAAGCCCCCCTCCTTATTTGCGAAGAATTCGGACAGCCACTTTTTACTTTTCGGCGTTAGTAAAAAAAATCTTTACACGTCTATAACTGTTGAAGACCTTTCAAATTATGTATAGTAAAAAAAGATACGAGCTCTGTAGCGCTTTGTACATAGCCCCGAAATTTAAAAGACAAAAAAACGGAAGGTCTTCTCTTGGTTTCAAGTATGTTTTTCACGTTAGAAATAATGCCAAGTTTATTTAAAATATTATAAGATTAAAGCAAAGGAATATGAGTAGAAAAAAAAAAAAAATATTAAAAACATGTGTGTGTGGGCGGGTATTTATTACTTTTTGTAAAAAAAAATCTGATTTTGTACGCACTTAGTCGGTTTTCCGCTGCATTTTTGCTCAAAAAAAACGATACTTTGTCTACAAATGAAAAAACCAACAATTTTAAGCTACTCCGAAAAAAAGGGATTGACTTACTAGGTGTGCTGATTTGCACTTTATAAGCACATGTTAAAAAAAGCGCGATCGAATACTGGTTGCTAAGTTTTACTAAAATTTTTTTTCCGGAAAAAAACTCACACAAATAAATTCATTGTGCATCTTCTCTCTACCCCATCTACCCAAAAAAACTGCGCTTGTATTCTATAATAATTTTATGCTTCCCCTTTATAGACAATAAAAAAATTTTCTCCTCTTCCCCCTCCACACTCCTTGGCTGAACATGTGTTCGCAAACACTTAAGCTTTTGCACTTACCAGGCTCCGTACAGAGCGTTTACGTCACCCACAAAAAAACTTAGTAATGTACTCTTAAATGCTCGTGCATGCTCAAGATACAACAGAAAAAAAATTCATGAGGGAGGCGCCATAAACGTTGCGGCATCGGCATTCGATAAGTAAAAAAAATCTGTTTGTTTATTTGCATACATTTAACGGCCTGGCGTGGTCCCTACAGTGCACGCTTTCACTTTTCAGAATCGCGCCCATACCCTCTGGCAAGCAGTAGCTAAAAAAACGCTACTCGCTTGTTTGCCGCTTCTTTCCAGCAGCAGTTATGTACATAAAAAAAAACATAATTTCTCTTATCTCTCACGTCGCACTCCGCAGCACTTACTCGTAAAAAAAGAGACAGCATTCCGCTTCTCATCCCGCCGAGCACCCGCGCACTGTTGCTTTTATTGATAACTGAAATTAAATTTTATGTTCCCTTGTTGTTTTTTATTTTTAATTTTTTCACAACACATCTGCTCCTTGGCTTTTCTGAAATACCAAATACTTTACGTAAAAAAATCCTTGTGCTCGCTCTCTCATATTGTTTACTTGTACATGTGTGCAGTCAAAAAAAGGACTTACGTCACGTTGCTTGAAAATTATTGCGCATTAAAGCTCCAACAAAAAAAGCTGCAACAACTGTAATAATGATAGTTTTACTATATTAAAAACAATAAACTCTACCTAAAGGATATTTATTGTTAGTCCTCTTTTGCTTAAGAAGTGTGCCGTATCTCGTGTTTCGCTTAATTTACTTGGTTTTTGGAAAATCTAAAAACAGCTGGTAAAAAAAAGATGGCCTTGCAGCAGTGGATGCCTCCCTCGTAACGTCAACTCCAGAGGCAAGCAAGAGGCATATGCAGAAGAAAGAGGCCGAGATGCGTGACCGACAGGTGTAAAAAAAAAAAAATTTACGAAGACATGCGTCGACTTGGCGAAGGCTTCAAGATCAAAAAAAAGATGTTCAAAGTATTCTGAATTTCTGAAGGGAACACTTTTTTGGTCTTAAAAAAAGTAGCGAACCCGATTTCTCATTCAATAACGATGGAGCAGATGTTTCATAAAAAAACTAGTTCGAATGGTCCGCCCAGCTATTCATATTCAGACGGATGAAAGCAAAAAAAAAAATTAGAATAAATGTGGGATCTACTTTTGGGTTTGATTGTAAGCAGCTCAATGCCTAGCCTCTGAAGTCTTTATATAGATGCCTGAGTAATTATGAAATGCCGGCAGATGGGACCTTGTGTCGTTATCTATTGGACTTTATAACTAGAAAACGACTAATAGCAATGTCTTTTAGTTCAAAAATCATAAAATATCGCGAATAGGACTGATGTGCTCAAAGCATAGGCCTCTTTCGTAAAATTCGACTTAAAACTTGCATGTTTTATTAAAAAAAGATCTTTGTTTATCCAATGCCTAATTGTGCTTTAACCTGAGTAATAACAAAAAAACAAGGTCGCATAATTTACATACGTGTAGCTAGAATATTTTTTACGAGAAAAAAAAAAGTCGCTTGACAACGCACCTAATTTCGAGGCCGTTGACACCTCGGAAAAAAAAAAAAGTGGTCGAAAATTGGTACTCTAGGCTTGAGTTTATTCGAGCCGGCCGCGATAGTCGCTTGCCCGAAATCCTTCTAAAAACAGAATGATAAAACCTCGTCTAAAAAAAAAAGCTAAATTTTTGATACACATTAACAGTGATTTTTATCTCTTCTTGAAAAAAATATGTCTAAAAAAATAACACCCTGTGCAAAATCAGTTAAAAAATCAAAAAAAAAATAATTGATCAGTCCAAGAAAGCTCACACTGTGCATATGAGTGAAAGAGAAAAAAAGAGAGGATACCTCAATTTGCGCTTTCTCTGTAAACATTATGCCTGCACAGAACTTAAACGAACAGAGCAGTATTTCTCGGCTATATTTCATTGAACACTTTATAAAAAAAGAAAAAAGCTTAAGAATTTTATTTAAAAAAAAAACCTCTTTACCTGACAAAAAAAATTTCAGCTTTCGACTCCTCTGTTATTGATTTCTTATAGCACAACCAAAAAAAAAATAGCTCAGCTGATAAGATTTCTACTTTCAGTAGACTTTGCTGATTGGTGTTTAATTGCTCATTATAACTGTTGAGTTTATCGTCATTTTTCTACATTTTATTAAAAAAAGTCACATGAAAGTCGCGTTTAACAGCTATGTCGGTCTCGTTGTTACCAAAGCAAAATATTTTTAGAGATTATAACAGCTGCAGACCAATAAAGCAGCATTTGGAAAAAAAGTGCACCAATTATCGTTAGCCTTTTCACGATCTCAATACGTTCATATAAAAAAAAATACGAGTACACGCGCAGTAAAAAAGTTGATTGTTTGATAAGTGTTTGATTGATTTTATCACCATCATTTTTCGTATTTAAGTAATTTTGAGAAAATTCTTACAAAAAAAAAAAACTCAACTCTCATCACTTCAGACATGTCGCGACACATAGTGGTAAAAAAAACAGTTGTCTGCTTACTACTGTCGAGTGGGCGAGCACTCTCCGGCTGCAACCTGGACGATGAAGATTGTCGAGAGAGTCGCATGCATCCTGATCTTCCGAGCGTAAAAAAACGTATGGAATATCAATCGAAAATTGCAGACGAAGAAGCCTCAGATTATAAAAAAAAACAGGGCAAGCAGTTTGTCAGAGAAAAGCTGCACACCCCCGCGAATAAAAAAAACGCCAAGAATGTGATTATGTTCCTTGGTGATGGTATGGGTATTACCACAAAAAAAGCGGCGCGCACGCTGCTCGGCGGTGAGGAGCAATCGCTTGCCTTTGAGAAAAAAACCCACACGGGGCTCTCGCGCACCTACAATGTCAACAAGATAGTACCCGAAAAAAAGTCCACAGCCACCGCATATTTGTGCGGCATTAAAGCCAACAGTGGCACAAAAAAAGTGAGTGGTTACGTGGACCGCAGTGACTGCCTACAAACTCGGAATGTCAAAAAAAATGTTAGCTCCATAGCCAAGTGGGCGTTGGATGCAGGCAAGTCGGCTGGAGTGGTTACCACCACCAGAATAACGCACGCCTCACCCGCTGGCGTCTATGCACAAAAAAAAGAGCGCAATTGGGAGAACGATAGCGAAGTGAAGAGTGACTGTGGGGCAAAAAAAAATGTGGAGGATATCGCCTACCAGCTAATACATGGTGAGGTGGGTAGTAAAAAAAAGGTGATCTTAGGTGGCGGCAGACGAGAGTTCGTAGACACTACACTAAAAAAAAAAGGTAAACGTAGTGACGGCCGTAACCTGATTGAAGAATTTATAAACCAGAAAAAAAGAAATGCGTACGTTGAGAACCTCGAAGAGTTGAACAACTTGAATATAACGAACGTTGATCGTTTGTTAGGGCTTTTCCAAGACAATCATATGTTGTATCACCTTGAGACTGATGAGCAGAGCAATCAGCCAACACTGGCGGAAATGACACGCAAGTCGAAAAAAATCCTAAGCCGCAACGAACAGGGTTACTTCATATTCATCGAGGGTGGACAAAAAAACCATGGACATCACGATACCTATGCACGTCTTGCATTGGATGAAACGTTGGAGTTTGCAAAGGCCATACAACTGGCACGTGAGCTGACAGAGGAAGCGGACACTAAAAAAATGGTCACCGCTGACCATTCGCATTCCTTCACTTATTCCGGTTATGCGGTAATTTGTAACATCTATTTTCAGTCTATTTTCGGTTTTCTTTTTAATATTAAGTCTTTTCTGTTCCCTTATTAGAACCGTGGAAATGATATTTTTGGTCCCGCACCTGGTAAGCCGTCCGATGGCAAGCCGTATATGACTTTGGGTTATGCAAATGGTCCAAGTTATGACAAATTTTATGATGTCGAACAACATCAGCGGCAGGATCCCACTACTATTATAAAAAAAAAACCGCGTGATGAATTCCCTGTTACCATACCACTGGCCTCCGAGACGAAAAAAAGTGACGATGTCGCCGTCTTTGCTTCGGGGCCTTGGGCTCATTTATTTAAAAAAAATTATGATCAAAACACCATTCCACATATGATGGCCTACGCTTCGTGTTTGGCGGATGGTCAAATCGCGTGTTCTAAATAGATTTAGAGTAGGTTTACTCATAAAAAAAAAACTGAAAGTATTCAAGTATTTTTACTATATGATAATAATGACCTCAAATAAAAAAAAACTGAAATGCTGTGACCATTTTTTATTTTATAAAAATATTTAATATTAAAAAAAATTATTGTATATCTGTCATCCGGAAGGCCAGGGTTCAATACCTCATACAAAAAAAAGTTCAATTTTTGAATTGCGGTCGCCCGACTAACCATGCCAACCCCTCAAAAAAAAATGCGATAAATGACGAAATACAATGGATGCCAAATTTTTCGTCCTGCAAAAAAAGAATGATACAAGCAAACAACTTAATCTGCTGGAAAGATAAGCAAATATAAAAAAATAAATAAATATCATGTGGGGCCTCTTATGGATAATAGACTTCATTTGAAAAAAAACATCTCAAAAGCATTGCCCCGCGCGCAAAGAATCTGATTGTTATTGTTCTTGCATGTTCTATTGTTATTTTGCTTCATTGTTATTATTAAACATTTTTACGCTAAAAAAACTGATGGACATATTGAATGTTGTAGTTGTTATTACGGAGTTTTATAAAAAAAAAAGCACATTGATATTATATATGTATCATATATTATTATCACACTAGAGCAAAAAAAACCTTTTTGCAATGTGGTAATTCGCTGATGAATGGACCAGCAAATAACGAAAAAAAGAACAGTAAATTGCTTGAGGTAAACATGCAAATATAGTAAATTCTTTAAAAAAAAACAACTTGCAACATTGTTAGCCATTTAATAAGGTTGCTCAATCACGGGAAAAAAAATGAAGCGCACTTAGGCCTGTTGGTCCCTTGATGCACCTGTAAGGGGCAAAAAAAAAAGATTTCTCC